ACAGGAAGAGGAAAAAAGATGGGTTCGAAGAGGATGAAACAAGTAGGCAATGCTTCGGGGCTAAACGCGTTGGCGGAACAACCATACCAGTGGAGCTAAAAGCAGCAGGTTGTGAGCAGATGACGGAGAAGGCGGAGCTGCAGAGAAAGAGGCGCTTCATTAAATAATTAATCGATCCGAACCTTTCGGACTGTCGGGAATTTCTCATCTCCCGGTTTCGCGAAAACAGTGTTTTCTGAGGTTTTCCAATGCGGTCCGAACGAATGGCATTTCACATCGAATATGGTTGAACGCTTCTTTTTTTTTATCTCTGTCGCAGTCTAACATGAGAATATCGAACGAAAGATCGTCATATCACAAGAAACGGTGTTTAACATCAAACACCATGTTTAAAATGTAATGTGATTAACGAGAGTTTCAATTTTGAAAAACCTCGCTTTAGAGAACCATAAAAAAATTTTCACACAACATCTCGATTGTGTAAGAATTTATAAGACATGTAATATATCTAAATGTACAAATCGGGTCGAGGGCTTGTCCTTCGAATGCGATCATATGCGATCATATGCTTATCACGCCGGAGACACGTGCGTTTCCACAGCGAAGGGAAATCGAGGGCCAGCGCCGCTCGCTAGAGAGCTGGAAGAGTCAGTCGCTATTTGGCAATATATCGGATCGGTCGAATTACTTTGAATTAAACTGCTTGTTAAAAGAAAGATTATTGTCGAGAACTATCATAAATGCGGTATCATTGTTCAACATTTAAGAAACTGTTATATGTAAAGCAATAGTTAAATACAGTGTTCTTATTTTAAATTTACTGTCTAAAAAGATAACTTTAAATCTTACCTAGTACTTACCTGTTGTTCCTCGCGTCCTTGGAATTCCTGCTCGTCCTAAAAATAACTTACCTTTCAATTGTATGAACAAAAGATTTTATTGTTGCGGGAGTTGAAGTGTGTCCACGTGTAACTTCATAAAAAAATGTTAAGCTTACTTACGTAGTAAAAAATGTGTAATTACATGTGTAATGATCGTTTTGGCAAATGAAAGAGATTCATATGAGACTTTAGCAAACAATTTGTTTTAAAAGACTCACCACAGTCATGTTCGTTAATTATTACTACTTGATATTACGTAATCCCGCTCGACGTGGCAGACCTTTCGGCGCGTATATGATAAATCATAATAATAGTGCGCAAAATTATTAATTGTATAATGAGACGTTTATGGGCGGGTCGACAAAGAAAAGGAAAAGTCGCTTAACAATGCGCGCGCACAGATAGATAGAGAGAGAGAGAGAAAGAGAAAGAGAGAGAGAGAGAGAGAGAGAGAGAGAGAGAGAGAGAAAGAGAGAACAGATTTTATATATTAATGACTTCTATATTTTGGAACTCATTAATCTCGCTAAAATACACGACCGGTAGCATAATATGACAGAACCGCATTAACTGCATATATACACAAGCGTGAATAACGCAGTAGGCGGTAGTACGCACTACCCGCGGTTTGCGTCGACATTCATTGCGCTCTCTCGGATTTATTACAATATTTTAATTTTTAATCGTTCGTATTGCCGCGCGTGTGTATTATGCGGACTATAATTAATTGCCCGTCCCGACGTAAATAAATGAACGCTCCATTTTGTGAAACGTGTGTATTTCGGAAATTTTCAAATTCACCAAAAACGCGAAAAGAATTGGACAACCAACCGGGTTTTAAGCTCGGGAGTAGTTAACAATTTTAGGCACCTGAAAAAAAAAATCAAACTGTAGTGTCACTTGTAGCAACATGTTGCTCTTTTTATGATAATACAATATCCGCTTTGTCGGCCATCTTTAAAGATCCATTACACACACGCACGCATCACACATTTCGACTTCCATAAATTTTTTGTGAGATTTTAGATCACATTAAACATTTTCTCTCATTTCTGTGTCGGAGGAAAAACCTCAGTGTTTTCCAACCGCTCCGATTTTCACGTAAAAGAGACATGTGGAGACGCCAAAAACGTACTTGTCGACTTAACATGACAAGGTGGGATATCCTGTCGCGAGCAGGGGAGCTTTGAAAGTTTTGCTAATTATTCCATAAAGAAATGAGTGACGCGTCGTGAGACGCGAGGTTGCTAGCGGAGTTTCAAAGTTACGTCGATTCAACAATTTCGAACTTAACTAGCACTAAGAACGCAACTGGATGCGCCACTTTCCACAGGGGAAAAAAGTTTATGCTACTTCATGAAATCTTTGCTAATTATGGTGTCGGTACGGTAAAGAAACTTTATATACACACATACACGCACGCACGCACACGCACGCACGCATCTCGGAAAACGTACGGAAACATATCACAAGCTTCGATATATTCCAATAGAAGTCCGCGACAAGTATTGCATGACATTTCACCAATACGGGCTCAGAGACGGACCGCGCGCAAGCTTCTTCGAGAATACAATCTGTTATGGTTGTGACAACTCCTTCGGCGATTGACGTCAAAAGAGAGAGGCGAAGATCTAAGGAATCCGCACGTGTGCAATAGGTAGAGACATTAAAATCGATTCAATTGGAGAAAGTGAGTTCGAATTGCATTGAATGGCACGAAATCATACAACGATAACGTTATCTAAGGCATATTGAATTCAGTGCATTACTCTCTCAAGTAGAATCAGTACATTGCATTGACAATTTGTAAATATTTACTGATTTAGATAGTGATAAGTTTTCCACTGAAAATCGATATATTTTACTTAATTCATTTAGTTCAAGTGCTTTGGACTATGCGAATCAGTACTTAATGACTGGGTCAGTTAGTAAATATACAAATAAATTTATACTATAAAAAACAATTATTCAGTTTTATAATTTATGTCTTCGAGTAAGTTTTTTTTCTCTGTTATTCTCTACACGTTGTTCTAGTATTAATTCGTAGAAAAAACTGATTGCATCAGAAATCATCTCGACTCGATTCGAACCTGGAACCCACTGATTGCCAAGCGGGCACTCTGTCAATTCAGTCATTGAAACCTCCAAGACCAATTGTTTGAAAACCATTATATGAATGTCGTTCAGTGATGTTGTTAATGATTCTCAGTGAAACTATTTGTCACTGAACCAATTAATAAAATTTTAACTGATTCTACTTAAGAGAGTAAATGACACAAATGTGGTTACACTTACCTCACATCCTTGCAAGATGCGAAAGATTTGAAACAAAGGAAAAAAATAAAGTTCAAAAGAATGTAAAGAAACAGACTTTAGATTAAAAAAAATAACACGTTACAATTTAGCAACATATCTGTTAATATTTTTTTCCCCAGTCCTTTTATTTTGTAATCTTATAATTTGTTACATTTGTTACATCCTTTATGGATGTACATATTTGTTACTTTCTCTTATCTTTATGGTATTCTCATGAAACACGTTCTGTAAATAAAATAAATAAATAAATAAATAAACAATTTCTGGAAATATTTGATAAGAAAATTTGAAATAAACTTGAAATAAGTTTTTGTTTATTCCGCGTTGCATCAAGAAATGATAGTTCACCGAATTTCGAAGATTTCTACGTGAGAGATTTTCGACAGGTTAAGTTATAAAGCCGGCAAAAGTTAGCTAACGCGGCGTGAGCTTTTAATTTAAAATCCGATTCATCCTTCGGATCGATTCACCTGCCGTTACTCTACGCCGCACGCTTAATTTGCGGTTTCCATGGAGATGCAACGACTCTTCGCGAGTGCATACGGCTAGACGGGGTGAATGTTCGCTCGTGCGCGCGCGGAATGGGGGATAATAAAAAGAGAAAATAAGCCGTTTGATGTAGAAATCAATAAGGCCGAATTTGTAAAAAAAAAAAAAAAAAAAGAAAAAAGAAAAAAAACAGAGAGAAAGAGACGCGAACACACTCATATGCGCGCGCGTTAGAACGAAATGTCTGGCGAGAACACGAAGGGAAAATAAACGAAATGAAGAGAGTGTCAACGATATATGGAGCCTTGATTTACATTGACGGTGACGAGTTATCTCGCGCAAAAGCCACACACGTACACACAAACACGCGGTTTCGTACAAAGCCTCGACGGCGCCAATAAAGTCCTTGTTCTCTTTTTAACGACGATTTCTCGTCGCACCCGACCTATTTTCCATCGCTTACAGAGCGTATAACGCGATCTCATTGTTAAGCAAATTTCTGCCGATGTCAAGACCGGATCGATGGCCGTAAGTATTCAAGAATCACATTACAGTTACAAAAACAATTCTGTTAAGGATTCGCCGCGTTAGAGAGTAGATTTGTTAAAAGAAAAATCTATAAATATTCCCGGCGAATTTAACGCTATCATCTTTTCTGCAATGTTCAGAATGTAAGTGGCCTCTACTGTATGGTCTCACGGCCTGAGTGTATATTCTGCGAACATAGAGGTTTCCGGATTGCAAACGTAGAGTTCAAATCCGCTTCATCAGGATTTTTTCCGAGTCCAGTCCCTTTCGATCAGATTAATCGAAAAAAGGGTCGATTGAAATCGAGCTCCCAATAATTAATTCAAAGAGGGTCGATTAAAATCTCGAATTAATCTTCTCTCTCTCTCTCTCTTTTTTAAAAATATTACAAGTTAAAAATACCAATATACTGTCTAATAAATGTGTAAATTGAGAAAATAGACGCTGAAAAAAATAGAAACACACACGCAATGTAATTTGCTTCCGGAGTTTTGATGTGATATAAAAACAAATGAGATTAAATATCTGATATGTAAAAATTATTAACGCACAGACATATATGTACGAAAGATATTTAAAATAATTGTGATAAACATAATGAAAAAACGACGATCATCCTGTGATAGACGCATCATCACAAACTCTGAACTCTGTTACCAACCAGTGTAGCTGACGATATCAGTAATTTCAAATCAAGACAAAATTTTGCAGTATTTTATGAATAAATGTTTGAAATACATTTTGACATTTGCGCAGCTTTTTTTTACAGACATTGTCCTTTTGTAGGTGGCGCTCGTGACGGTCGGGCCGGCAAAGTGTCGAAGCGTGCAAAGCCACTCAACCCCGGCGAAGACGACTACTATTACGATGATTCTGTGGACGAGAGGAACAATCCGACGAACGAGGCGCCGGCCGTGCCACCCGGATTCCTGAGCCCGTCTGTGCGGGAGTACCTCGATCTCGGTAAATCGATACCCGGTACGTAAACAAGATCATCTCACGCGAAGTTGTCCCTTTGTGAGCAGTCCCGCTTGTCCGATCCCGGAGCCGACGCAACGGAGCGCTTTCGTTCTCCACCTCTTCCGTATTCTTCTTTTTCTCTGTGTGCACAGCTTCTGGAATCTGTCCCTACCTATCTATTCTTTATTTCGTTTTTATCCCACCCTGTTTTTCCCTCACTTTCTCGCCTGTCGCGTTTCGCCTATCCTTGTTCTTCCAGCCGAGAAACGACGCTCTTTTGAAATCGAGTGGACGCGTCGCGTGAAAGCCGGTCGCGCGCTCGTGTTATACGCGAGAAATAAATAAACTCGATGAGAAGAACCTTACGAGAAAGAGAGAGAAAGAGAGAGAGAGAGACGAGAGCTGTGCTTGCGCGGAAGACTCTCGTCGGGACTATCAGTGGAATAATGAGGAAACGACGAAAGCAAGAGAAGGGGGGGGAAGATATGACGAAATAGACAGGCGGGGAGAAGAGAGAGACAAGTCGATTGCGTAGATTCCATCGAACGCTTCTTCCGTATTCTCGAACAGAAAATATTTCACGCTCGGCGATGCCAGACTGTGAGAAACGCCTGGCACGCGGGAGCTACGCGCGGAATTGACCCTTTTATTTAAAATATCGTCTCTGCAACCACCCTGTTTTATCCATAAAATATGCAGAATCCGCGAGAAATATGCAATTGCATATATATTAAAACTCTAATCTCGTCGTCGTCTCGCGCAATCATCTTTGTGCAAAATTTCGCGCGGACTCGTGTCGCGACACGTGTCACTAATTCTCGGGAGCAACGTTAATGCTGCACGCTTGGGACGAGAACAGAAACAGAATGCTACTTTACATAACGTTAAAAAAAAAAATAAATAAAAGATTGACTAATTTTATTTTTCAGTAATGACGAAGCTTCTGACATAAACACACACAACGACTATTTTCTATTTTAAAATATTGACAACGACTAATTTAACTTTTAATTTACACTTCGTCATTGAAAATCACAAACTTAGTTTAAACTTGCCCGATCAAAACCAAGAGATTTTTAATTCCGTTAAAAACCCGATTCAAAACATCAACATTGATTATAATTTTATTTTGTTGAAGAAGAAAAAAACGATTGAAATTGAGTATGATGTCGTACGGCGTAGAAATATGAGGTTGGAAAAAAAAAGAAACTGGAGAAAATAATGTTAGATTATGTAAGATGGATCTTCAAGTTAGAGTTTTGTACGCCGAGATATAAAAATTTAAGAGAGTTGGGCCTAGAAAAACTCAAATAGATGAGAGATAAGAGCTACGAGATATGACAATAAAGTAAGAAAATTTGACGATAATAACTTGCTAAAAAAAATAGTTACGTAGAAGAAGACAACACGAGAAATAAAGAATTATATAGTAGGGAAAAAGAAAAATATTACAGAAACGGGTGAGATTTGAAGGTGGTAGAAGAAATAAGAAACCAAGACATGGAGATGGAAAACATGTTGATAGAGAAAGAGATGTCCAAAGGCAAGTAGAAGAGAGTAGAATGTGAAAGAGAGGTGAAATATAATAAGAAATATAAAGAAATATGCCAGGGAAATGGATAAAACCGAGTTATCTACAAAAAAAGAAATACAGATGACATTAAAATAGGAGATCAGATACGTGCCCTAGTTAGAGTAAGATGTGGAAAAAAATAATATTGGATAACAAAGAAAAATAAAATATGTAATAAGTGAAATAAGGTATAATTTAAATATCATTTCCAATGGTAAATAAACTACTACTTAAAAAAGTGACACATAAAACAATCTTTTATTCAAAATAATTTCTTTCTTTTCGTACGTTGCATAAATTTTCCCGCATCTGCTTAAGTTTATTAACACTTTCGAATAAATTGCGCTGCAATATTTACGTCCGAATTTTTTTATTAAGTACAAATGTAATAAATAAAGTATGAAGATGTGTAAAAAGATGCCCCGCTCGCGCTGTGAAACCCGTCAGGTCGAGCGTCATGCCGTCGGCTGCGATTATATACCGGTCGCAAATGAATGGGATTTAACTTGCAGAGAGACGGACGACGCAATACCGCCTGCGTTTTCATGAACACCCTTCAACGAGTAATCCTGCCTACAATAGACGTCAGAAATAAACAAGCGGGAGAGACACCGAAGCGGAAGTATAAGGAAATACGTAGCTCGCATACCTCGACGAGCAATAACTTTATCTTCTATCCACTTCTTACCTTTTCCACCTTGCAATCGCATAAAAGCGAGCTCAAAACACGCGCGCGAGCGAAACTGCCTGGAATACACTCCCGGAGATTCCAGCAATCTCACTGATATTTTGTTCTCAAACAAGAAACAAGAAGGGATCACGTAACCGCTTCTTAGTTATCCTGGACTGTTTTCCAACGCGTTTCTCTTTCCATTGTCAAAAGACTTTGCTCTGGTTGACGGTGGATGAACCGTTTGAGAGAGACGAACGTCGCGATGACAGTGAGGATGTCTGTCGACAGAGATTTTTTTTTTAATGCAATTTTACACACAGCCGCTGCTTCTCTTTCCGTCAAAACAAATGATCGAGTACAAGAAAATTATTATAATCTTACTTCAAAAAATCTTATAAACCTTACAGCTCTTTTCCATCGGTCTTAGTCAAAAAAAAAAAAAAAAAAAATGCCAGATAACACGTCAAAGTTTACGATAGAACGTCGCCGCAGTAAATTCCTCGTGCATTGTTTGAGAATTTGCGAACGTTAATCGGTCCTCGTCACGTCGAGGTGCGAAAGGTGCGCCAACATTGTCGCCGTCGTTGCCGTCATTAACGTCGACGTCGTTGTCGCTCTCCGCTTCATTCAAGATTGACGTCAACGCCAATGAATCCCGTCGATGGCGATATTCGCGGAATTTCGCGCTGGCGTCCTCGCAAATTTCTCAAATTCGTGGCTGCTCGTCGCGCGTATCGTATCAAAGTTACTTGCTTGCTGATAATGTACATACACATCCTTGATTTCTACTTCAGAAAAATACTTACAGTTTAATCTGATTGATGAGAAGTGTTGGAGCAATTCTCTCTTTCAAAAAGTCACTTCATCAGACATTTCATCAGGTGAAAAACTAATAGACAGGGGTGACACCTGAATTAGCGACAATTTGGAAAACATCAGACACAAGTGTGCATGCACATCCTTCGATGCTACAAGTTTTTCGAAGAACATTATTTGCATCGAAGAAGAATGTTCGAACAATCTGTTCGAAAACGAACTGCAACGCGTGGAAGACGATAATTAAATTGACGAATACGTGCAAAGAAAAATGTAATGAAGCAACAATGGATAAAATGAGCCGATTTGTATCCCAAAAGCGCAGAAACACTTTCAACGTATATTTTCATTTTGCGCTTCACACACGGCAGCTTTATTTAGTCATCCGCGTTGATCTATCTATTTCATCGCGAGCATTATCGCCATCTGTCACATATAGCACGGATTTTGAACGGAGCATATTCGAGGGTTACATTGAAAGCGGATCTATATAATCACGTGACGGAATATTTAACGCGCTATCACATAATCAGATCGCGCGAAACGCAGTCGGCAAATTAACTATGGCTATTAGTGGAGAGAAATGTTGGCGTTAATCCTTCTCTCCTTCAAAAATTGAAGTTGAAAGTCATTGAAAGAAAAAAACTAACTAAAATAATCAGAGAGTCATATTTCTTTAAAAACTTAAAGGCGATGCTCTTATCTTGCTTATTAATGCACGAAAAAAAAATGGTTTGGTTGATTCAGCAAAGCTATAGCTTGCTACGTAAGTTTAAGATTTGTAATTAAGAAAACTTGATAGCGCAACAAAGACATCAAGTTTTGAAGAACCATTTTTCAACATGCTCTACAGACAAATATAATTTTGTTAAATATTTTCTTAGCTAGTATATAACAAATTGCATAGAACTGATTTTCATTTTATAAAATAAAATTATATATAATAATAAGAGGAAAAAAATTTAATTAATTCAAGATTTAACTCGAATTAATCTTTGAAGGTCTGATTCAGTTTGCTGATTAACTGATTAACTTGATGAAAGGTACCGAAGAGGCCTCGAAAAAATTCTGAGGTGGATGGTATATATAAAATTCAAACTCGAGACCTCCATATTCACAACCCTTGCACTCAGTTTGCGAGACCACTTGTTCCTTGCGAGTGCTTTATTAATGAACATCATAAATTATATCTACAAACAACAAATAACAATTTAAAAGACCGATAGTCTTTTATTGTTAAATGCGGTTTTATTGATATTTTGAATTCTTTTAAAACAACAATTGTTATTTTAAATAAAGCTAAAGCAAGATTAAGTCACGCGAGATTGGAACACGCAAGATTCGCGTGTCTTTTCAGTGTGGAAAGTAATAGGGAGACTATAAATCGCAAAGTTTTGACATGTGCTCGACAGAAAACAGCTAAAATTAATGGCGTATCTTTAAGTAAGTTTATTTTCCAACCCGTCGTCCATCAAACTCGCGTCATGATATTGTATTAAAACCAAAACCGATTTATATCACTTAGTTTCTCGCACATAACAGGTTTCTCTATGAAGGTTGAAAATTTCAACACTGACCTATTGTGGCGCGAGCAAGCGAACGTGACGTTAGCTTCGATTTTGCTTTATTTCTTCGCCCTGCGAAGAACAATGTAGTTCGCTCCGTCAATCGCTTCTCTCCCTTTAGCGTCGATCGATCGGAAAATATTTGCAGCCTACGCGTTCGGAGGAAAAATTCCTATAATGGCATTTACACTTTCTGTGTTAACCCCGGAGGGTAGATAGAGGTGGATGAAAGAACAAGCAAGTGGAGCTTGCCCACAGATTGAAGCGGAAAGATTCCGGTCACTCTCCGATAAACTTCATCCTTAAATATTTCTCTCTCTCTCTCTCTCTCTGCTTGGCGATTCAAGTCTTCCGTATCTATGCAAATTTTTGGCCTCTGTTCACATCAAAC